TGGTAATGAAGTGGTTAAGAGTGCAGGCTGCTAACCAAAAGGTAAACAGTCCAAATCCAACAGCTGCTCCTTGGAAACCCTATGGGGCAGTTCTACTCTGTCCTATAGGGTTTCTATGAGTCGGAAATGACCCTGCAGCACACACTTCTGGAAAAACTACCTGCTTCAATATTTTGTTTTCTACATTTGTTGTATTGACACTGAGATTAGATTTGCAAGGAAGAAGCTCTTATAGTTTCTTATCTCTTCATACAAAAAGACTAGACAAGAGAATATTCTTTATCATCTTCCTCTGCCTTTGTGTTATGATATTAATAATTGAACATAGAGAAAACTGTTAAACAACTAGTTAACATTACTTAACTCTGGTAAGGTAAAATTGGAGAGGGAATGCAGAAATTAATTTCTTTTTGCACCTCTGTGTTTCTTAATTTATTGTAATGATATAATTGTTTATAAAACAATGAATAAAGTATGTAGTATTTATGGGGGAGTCTAAAAATAAAATAAATTAATAACCTATTTGTAGAAAGGTTAAGAAAACAATATAGAGGTTGTATACAATCTAGGAAGAGTCTACCACTATAAATTCCTTGTATATCTTTTGGTTGTATATAAATAAGCTTTTTTTACATACTATACAAAACAGTGTATAGTATGTAAAAAATATGTAGTCATAGAATATATGCTTTTCGTTTATTTCATGGGCATCTTTCTGTATTAATACTTAACCATTTATTTTTAAAAACTGCATAGTATTTTTGGAACCTTTTTGGAAACTTTTTATTGAAGTATAAACTCAGAAAAGTGCACAGCTTAATACATTTTTACAAAGTGAATACACCCATATACCCACCACTGACATCAATATAAAGAACAATGTGAGTCACCCCATAAGCCTCCCTCATACTACCTTCCAGTCATTAACCTCCTCTCCCAAAACCATAGGTAATCACTATTCTGATTTCCATCTGTATAAAGTAGTTCTGCCTGTTTTTTGAACTTTATATAAATTCAGTCATACAGCTGTACTCATTTGTGTCTGGCTTCTTTCAGTCAACATTATTTTTGTGACGTTCATCCATGTGGTTGCATGTAGTCCTTTTTTCATTCAGTATGGTATTCTAGAGTAAAATGCATAAATATCACAATTTATGCATTCTGCTTTTGATGGACATTTGAGTTGTTTCGATTGGGGGATATTATGAAAAATGCTGGTATAAGAATTACTGTACATATCTTTTGAACGTACTTCTATCGAACATGTACACATTTCTGTTGCCTGTATGCTTAAGAAAGAAGCTGCTGGGTCAGAAGGTATACATATGTTCAGCTTTAGTAGATACTGCCCAGCAGTTTTTGAAAGTGGTCCTGAGGCTCAGAAAATAGTGTGTCCCATTAGTAGTATGAGAGTTCCAGATATTCCATGTCCTTGTTAACCCTTGGTATCAGTGACTTTTTTTAAATATTAATTTTAAAAGTCTGCCCAGTATTTTATCATGTGAATAGATCATAATTTAACCAATCTTCTGATAGCCATTTAGCTTTTTCTTTCTTCCCCCTCTATAGTAGAGCCGGAGTCTGGACAGCTCTAATATTTAATGGGATCTCTGGATTATTTTCTATGTTACCTGACTGTGTGAGGAAAATTTAATGTTGAAATTAGCAGAGCCAATACCTTTTTTTTTTTTTTTTACAGATTTTCTTCAGATTCCTTCTGCTTTTGAGTAGTATGGCACCAATATGAAGTATCCATATAAAATAGTTTTATTTTGTTGACCTGAAAATCAATTTTGATTTCATGGTGGTAAATGGTTCTTTCCTTCACTCTTGTTTAAAAGTAACATAACCCACTCCTAGGAATATATCCTAGAGAAAAAAGAGTCATCACTTGAATAGACATATGCACACCTATGTTCATGGCAGCATTGTTCACAATAGCAAAAAGATGGAAACAACCTAGATACCCATCAACAGATGAATGGATAAACTATGGTACATACACACAATGGAGTACTATGCAATGATGAATCTTCGAAGCATCTCACAACATGGATGAATCTGGAGGGCACTATGCTGAGTGAAATAAGTCAATCACAAAAGGACAAATATTGTATGAGACCTCTATTGTAAAAACCCATGAAAAACTTTATACACAAAACATGACAATCTTTGTTGGTTACCAGGGATGGGAGGGGTGGGGGAAAAATACTAAATAGGCATCAGATAAGTGGTATCTTGGGTGAAGGGTGAGACAGTACACAATACCGGGGAAACCAGCACAACTTGTACAAAGAAAGGTCATGGAAGCTCCATAGACACATCCAAACTCCCTGAGGGACCGAATTGCTGGGCGAAGGGCTGTGGGGACCATGGTCTTGGGGAACATCTGGCTCAATTGGCATAACACAGTTTATAAAGATAATATTCTACATTTTACCTTGGTGAGTAGCGTCTGGGGTCTTAAAAGCCTGTGAGCAGCCATCTAAGATACTCCACTGGTCTCACCCCTTCAGGAGCAAGGTAGAATGAAGAGAACAGGCTACAAGGAAAAGATTAGTCCAAAAGACTAATGGACCACAGCTACCAAGGCCTCCACCAGACTGAGTCCAGTACACTAGATGGTGCCCAGCTACTACCACTGACTGCTCTGACCAGGATCACAACAGAGGGTTCTGGACAGAGCTGGCAAAGGATGTAGAACAAAATTCTAACACACAAAAAAAAGACCATATTTACTGGCCTGACAGAGACTGGAGAAACCTCGAGAGTGTGGCCCCCAGACACCCTTTTAGCTCAGTGGTGAAGTCACTTCCTAGGTTCACCGTTCAGCGGGGATTAAGGACTAGAAGGCAGAAGAGGACAGGAAAGCTGGTGATAGGGAACCCAAGCTTGAGTAAGGGCAGTGTTGATGTGTAGTGGGGTTGTTAACCATTGTCATAGGGCAACATGTGTACTAACTGTTTAATGAGAAACTATTTTGTTCTGTAAACATTCATCTAAAGTAAGAATAGCAGCACAACTGGAAGAGCATAGCCAATGTTACTGAACTGTGCATGTAGAAAATTTTGAAATAGTGTGTCTTTGGCTATGTATATTTTCACCAAAAAAAAAAAAAAAGTCGAGAAGGGAGAGGGTTGACATGTCATGGGGTTGTTAACCAATGTCTTAAAACAATATGTGTACTGACTGTTTAATGAGAAACTATTTCTTCTGTAAACCTTCACCTGAAGTACGATTAAAAAAAGAAAGAAAAGGGTAAGAATGTAAAATTGTTCTTTTCCCCTACTATCTGGCAATAGAAGACAGTAATGTCTGATTTGGACTATGGGAGCTAAGTGATTAGGATCATCCTTGATGTGGATAGTTTAAAGGTAACAAATATGTAGTCCTAATTTAGTGAAATACGTTTAAAAGAAGTATATAACATTCTCTTTGTACTAATATATTCCATCAGACTATACATCAATATTTCAACAAAGATTGTTTTTAATAAGAAAATAAAATGATGCTTGATTTTCAACTAGTATAAAAAAAAGTAACATAAAAATACTGTAATATCTGAAACTAGACTTTTGGTGAAAGCAATGCAAAATAAAACAGCCGATTTCATTCTCCTGAGCAATTTTCATTCTCTTAGAATCAGCACACAGTGCTAGCTGCCAGCACCTGCAACACATAGGTCTACAGTCCACTGGAAAACTACTGTGTGAATTAGCTGAGAATGTAATCTTTAGGTTTTGGAAAACTGTTTGAATTTTACCCTTTGAAAGTGAAAGATGATTCCAGTCAGAGAACATTGCTTCCCAGTCCAGCCTTACTTTTAACACTTCCCTCGCTCATTTCCTCAAATTTTCTTTTGACATAGGTTTTTTAAGGTGTGTGAAAATTAGGAACTTATTTTTAGTGAGTTAAGTGTGATCACCAGACCTCCTGTGTCTTCTTAGGTTAGGTTATGTGATTATTTCATGGTAACCACTCTTCCTGTTGTGTATTATGGCTTTAAACAGGTATTGGCACAGGTGGTATTAAGTACCTGTACCAGTTACCGTAAGTAATTCCTTGGGAGGGTTTAAATATCATTAACCCTCTGTGATAGCTGAAGGATCTTTTTGAAAGTACCTTGTGGGCTTATAAGACAGTTTTGTCTTTCCTGTTATTCTTTGTTTTTGTCAGTTGTATGTTAAATTATTCTTTTTTGGAATAGCTGTAATGACCAGAATGAGCATGTGATTCTGATACTAGTAAGTTTAAGGTAGGGTCTTTTACTTTCAGGTGTGGAGGTTCTCCACATTTCTAGTTAATTCCTGCTAAGAGTTTCTTAGTGGCAGGAGAAAGCTATTGCTTTATATTCTATTCATTTTTTTTTTAAGTGTATATGTTGAAAGAATATATTTAGCTCTTGAGATTTCTTAAGGATCATATTTCAAAATAACTCAAAAAGTCTGTCAGTTCTATCTGTTATATTGGTAACATGTCTAAAAGTGCCCAGATGAGTTAACAAATAAACCAAAAACCTATTGAAGACAGTATTTTCAGTGGCCTCTTCCTTCACAGTCCCTAAATCTTTTTATTATCGATAATGAATAGCAAAACTTGCTGACTTGATTTTTTCCTTCTCAGATTATGATAAAAGTGCTAATATTCTAAAAAGCGGGGGGAGTGGGTGAAGGAGCACAAGTATAATCAACTTCTGACAACTAGCTAGTATTTAGGAATCTTTTCATTTATCTCATATTCATGGACCAGATTTGGGTGTTAACTTTAGAGACCACTATTAATAAAATGACTTTAACTTCTAATAGATCATTTCTGAGTGTATCCTAGCCAATGCAGTCAGCCTTTACAAAGAAGTCCAATATTAAGGAGTTTACTCAAGTTGCGGCTTCCTTTCAAATAACACAGAAAATAAAGCATCTAGTAACCTAGAGCCAATAGAGCCCACTTTAGCTTCACTTTAATTTCAGTACTTTCCAAAAGCTGTTTCTCTTTCTACATAGGTATCAGTCAGAGCCGGATCTCTCATTGGCTGTTGCAGCAGGGATCAGACCTGAGTGAACAGAAGAAGAGGGCATTTTATCGATGGTATCAACTTGAGAAGACAAGCCCTGGTAAATACTATTTTCTTTTTTTATTTTTTATTGCTTCTGAAACAAGACAAATATAACTAATTATTTTATGAAATCCGTGTGCTGACTTATCTTCCATAAGGTAGTTTCATACACTTTGTTCCTTTACCCAAAAGAACACTCTTTACAGTAAAGCCTAAGTCCTGATTGTAATATTTAGCTTAGTGTCTGAAGTTATCTAGTCATTTTCACTCTTCCCTCCAGGGCACCTCTTTGCTTTTACGTTATATGGTATTTATAACTATAGTTTGAAAGAAAGATCATGTCAGTGGTTGATCTTTTCCACAATTCTGGGTTCACACCTAAGATTCCCTATGCTTTTTTAAAATTCTTGCTTTAATTATTAATATAAATTTAATACGTGTATTTAGTTCATGCTCTATCATATCCAGTAATCTCTGCAAATGATTTTGTTTCTAATTCCACTGAATGTGCCCTTGGACGTTAGGATGAAGCTGCCACGATGACTTTCAGGAACAGAAGTAGGTTGGAAAGTAAAATGAAATCTTAAGGAAAAAGATCACAAAATGCTTTGTGTCTAAAGTTACCAGAAATAGGCAAGATCTATTGCGAGATAATTTTAATAAGAGATACATAAAGTAACATCTGAAGTAAAGTAAACATCTATAACTATGCAGTCCACAGACTGGTGGCAGTGAACCTTATCTCAAGTTTTAACTATGTATTTCAGCATCAAAAAAAAAAAGTTTAAATTTTTGATGGAACTCTCTTCTGTAGTACCACAGCATTAAAGCCTTTGCTTACAGACTAAATTACAAGTTGGAATATTATATATTGAACACTTTTAGGTAATAATAGCATTGACTCTGAGGAGCAATAATGTTATAGAGACATATTTTTTTATTGTCTGCGATAAGATTTTTTTCAAAGATCACATTCTCAGTCTGAAAGGCCTAGGCAGGAAAAACCCAGTAATCTAGTATATCAACCTCTCTGCAAGGAATATTTTGTATATATTCCATCCTACTTTTTATTTTGAAAATTTTCAGATATACAGAAAAGTTGAAAGATTAACACAATGAACACCTGTTTCTATAATAATATTTTCTAATATTAGCTTTATCTTTATAAAATAAATGAATAAATTTAAAAAGTAAAATACAGATATATATAGATAGTTGGGGGTTTTGTTGTACCATTTGAAAACAATTTATAGACCTCCTGGCCCTTACTTCCTTCAGCATTCATCTCTTAAGAATAAGGGCAATCGCCTATATAACCATAACTAAGAAAGTTTAAAAATTAACAATACTTCCACATCATCTAATATCCAGTTCATATTCACGTTTATCTAGTCATTGCAGGAATATCTTTTGTTTGTTTGTTGTTTTTTTAACTTGGGTGCTATTTAGGTTGACAAGTTCCAATTTGTCATTATGTCTCTTTAGACTCTTAAATTTGTAATTAGCCACCCAGACTTTTTTTTTCACAGCATAAACTTTTCAAAGCATCTAATCAACAGGTGTCTTACAGAATGTTCTACATTCTGGATTTATCTGTTTCCTCTTGGTGTCAATGAACTTATTCTTTATTTATTCCTGTGTTTTTTGTAAACTGGAAATTAAGATTATAGTCTTGCTTGATTAGAATTGGGATAAACATTTTTACCAAGAATACTTCATACATTATTTAGGGGGGGCCTGTACTAATGGCTGCAGTTTATTGAACTCCATCAAAAATAAAATGAATTAATGGATAGATATGTGATAAAGTAAATGTAGTAAAATGGTAGGTGATAGGAGTAAAATTTCACTGTAAAATTGTTTCAGCTTTGCTGTATGTTTGAGAATTTTCATAATAAACTTTGGGAAAAAATACTTTATAGGTATTGTTTACCTTGTATCAGCACGTATCACCAGGCACATGTCAGGCTGTAGCACTATTTATATGCTAAATTTGATCATTTTTTGTTAAAAGTGGTGACCATCAAATCTCTTCTTTGTAGTTTGTAAATAATCTGTAGGATGACACTTTGTCACTGGACACTTTGTCACTGGATGAGTATCTTCTTTCCCAACAACCTTTTATCAGTGGTTTTAGCATCCGTTGATGATCCTTGCATGAATCAGTTATTCTGGTAGAGATTGCAAAATGGTGATTTTCTAATTCTAGCATTCCTTCAGCATTTATTAGCTGGGATTTTTTTCTGTGAAAAAAGGCTTTCATTTTTAGATATGATATCTAGATATACAAGCAAACTTCTCAAAATAATGACTCTATTATTGCTTCTATTAGTTAAATGTTCTAAGGCAGAGCAGTCCAGTAGAAATATATGCGAATGACATATATGATTTTAAATTCTAGTAACCACAATTAAAAACGTAAGAATAAACAGCTAATATTAATTTTAATAATAGATTTTATTTAACGAATATAAATTATCACTTCAACATTTAATTAATATTTTTTAAATTACTGAGATATCTCTCTCTCTCTGTACTGAATCTTTGAAATCCAATATATATTTTACACTTAAGGCCCATATCAATTCCAGTCAGCCATGTTTTAAGTATTCAATAGCCACATGTGGCTAGTGGTTACTGTATGAGACCATACAGTTTTAAGGTTTATTATAGTTGAAGATACACTTCAAACTCAGCTCTAAACAGTCTTCTCAAAAAAAAGTTACTTCTCCCATGATTCACAACAGAGCCAATCAGATGGAGAGGGACAAAAATCTGGTTTAATACAACAGTTTAGACTTCAACTAAGTAAATAAGGAACTGTACCAAGGGTTTTCAGAAGTCTAGTCACATTCCAGACAAGCAACTGTCTACTAGGAGGACCTCCAGAGAGATTATCAGGATGTTCCAACATGTGTAGGGCAGATTAATGAAGAATTTGAAGGGCAGGCACTATTCAGCTATATCAGGCAATAAGCCTGAGTATAGGAGGTAACGGTGAACTCCATAAAAGAAGGGATTTTTGTCTCTTGGATTTGGCACTTAGAACAGTACCTGGCATATAATCTAATCACAGGTGGTGAGGCTAAATCTCCACACTGTGATTTGATGACTGGGATCCAATCCCAAGCAAGGACTAAGATACCAGGAAATAGGAAGATCACTAGAAATAGGAAGGAGGCCTTAGGTTGCAGGTCTCAGGCCAGAGCAGTCCTGTTGCAGCTGACTTGATAGCACTTGAGGTCAGTACTGATGACTGCAGAATACTATTATAGGATTCCAATTTTTAGCCCTGGGGTAATAGTGTTCCTCTGAAGTTGGTTTTGTGGTTGTTGTTTTTTGTTTGTAATCTTATGTCCCACTTGAATTCATCTTGGAACCAGAGCTAGGCTCACCCATCATTGGGAGGTTGGAGGAAGGTGGAACTAGGGCATCAGAACAGGTAAAATGAGAAAGAACTAATAGCCTTCATCTAGCTGTTGATTAGGAGCTGCTTTTTTTAAGGAGATAGTGCTGCCTTTTAAGAATAAATTTCCTTAACTATATGCGTTTGCTTTTCAAAGAAGTTTACATCGCTGTCCTAGTTTTAAGGACTTTCTACTTTTTAATTGAAAACCAAATCCATACTGGTTTTGAGATTCTTCAGTCAAGTTTTATGTAGGACTTACTTTACAGATGGAAACCCTGGTGGCGTAGTGGTTAAGTGCTACAGCTGTTAACCAAAAGGTCGGCAGTTCGAATCCACCAGGCACTGCTTAGAAACTCTATGGGGCAGTTCTACTCGTTCTATAGGGTCGCTATTAGTCGGAATCAACTCGACGGCAACAGATTTTTAATTTATAGATAGCTGAAGGTCATAATTCTCAATTGATAATTTTCATTTCATCAAGAGTAGTTGGATATTAGCAACGGAAACCATGTGGAGATTGCATGATAAAATTTCGTAAGACGAACAATTTGTTCATTGGAAATAGCTTTCTTCAACAACATAAACGACGACTATACACATGGACCTCGCTGGATGTTATACACGAGAATCAAATCAACTGCATCTCTGGAAGGAGATGATGGAGAATCTCAATTTCATCAGTCAGAGCAAGGCCAGGGGCTGACTACAGAACAGACCATCAATTGCTCATATGCAAGTTCAAGTTGAAACTGAAGAAAATTAAAACAAGTCCACATGAGCCAAAGTACAACCTTGAGTATATCCCCCCTGAATTTAGAGACCATCTCAAGAATAGATTCGACGCATTGAGCACTAATGACCGAAGACCAGACGAGTTGTGGGATGACATCAAGGACATCATACATAAAGAAAGCAAAATGTCATTAAGAAGACAGGAAAGAAAGAAAAGACCAAAATGGATGTCAGAAGAGACTCTGAAACTTGCTCCTGAATGTACAGTAGCTAAAGTTAACCAAAGAAATGATGAAGTCAAAGAGCTGAACAGAAGATTTCAAAGGGTGGCTTGAGAAGACAAGGTGAAGTATTATAATAAAATGTGTCAATGTGCAAGGACTTGGAGTTGGAAAACCAAAAGGGAAGAACACGCTCAGCATTTCTCAAGCTGAAAAAACTGAAGAAAAAATTCAAGCCTCAAGTTGCAATATTGAAGGATTCTATGGGCAAAATGTTGAACAATGCAGGAAGCATCAAAAGAAAATGGAAGGCACACACAGGATCACTGTACCAAAAAGAACTGATTGACATTCAGCCATTTCATGGGGTAGCGTATGATCAAGAACCAATAGCACTGAGGAAAGAAGTCCAAGCTGCACTGGAGGCACTGGGGAAAAACAGGGTTCCAGGAATTGATGGAATACCAATTGAGATGTTTCAACAAAAAATGCAACACTGGAAGTGCTTACTCGTCTATGCCAAGAAATTTGGAAGACAGCTACTTGGCCAGCCAACTGGAAGAGATCCGTAAACAAGCCCATTCCAAAGAAAGGTGATCCAACAGAATGCACAAATTATCAAACAATACCATTAATATCACACACAAGTAAAATTTTGCTGAAGATAATTCAAAAACAATTACACTAGTACATTGA